ATGATCCAATTTTCTTCTGCAGGGAAACAAAATTCCTTCCTGATCCTCCGAGAGGCAATTGGATATTCCCTGGATCCCTTTGATACGAGGTGGTATCAGAAAGTTTCAAGACTAGGTTTGTAACATGCCAACAGATGACAGCACAAGGCTGCAAGCACAGTCACAGAGAGCACTGACCTTCATAAGTTAGTGTACCAAAAGACACCACCCTGTGTACATCAGGAGCTGTGCAACTGGTGTTATTCTGACCACGTGCGTTACCACGTCTGCTATTTCACCATGGACAGCAAGTTAGAACAAAGAGAAAGCGTGAAATTCTGCGTGAAACTGGGCAAATCTGCCACAGAAAAGTGTGACATGATTCGGCAAGTTTACTGCAATGAATCGTTTGAGGTGTTTTGACTGCAACACACACTTCAAGATTGGGAAAAACATCACAGGAAGATGATGAGAGATCAGGAATACCTTCAATGAGCTCAACCCCTGAAAATGTCGAAATGTCAAAACCATTCGGCAACTTGTGTATGATGACCATCGGAGAACAATCCACAACATTGCTGCCATTGTCAGTGTGTCATGCGAAACAGTTCAGACAATCATCATGTGTGATTTGAACATGTTCCGTGTTGCTGCCAAGTTCATCCCCAGGCTGCAATGTTCTCACTTCCGTACCCACCCTACTCGCCAGATTTGGCTCCTGTAGACTTCACTTACTTCCCGAAGATGAAGATCTAGTTCAAAGGTTGCCGATTTGGCAACATTGTGGAGATCCAGTGTGAATAGCAGAAGGTTGACATGCTTAAAAAAGACTTCCAGGACACATTCCAGAAGTGGCAGGAATGCTAGGAGTGCTGTATTGCTGTGCAAGGGGACTATTTTGAAGATGATAGTGTGGAAATGTAGATAAATAAAGTACTTTCTTGTAGACAGAGCTAGTCTCAAAACTTTTTGATACCACCTCGTATTCCTTTAAGAAAGGGCAGCACAGTGGCTAAATGTTTAGCACTTCTGCCTGGCAGTACTATGGTCATTGGTTTGAATCCCAACCATGGCATCACCTGCCTGGAGTTTGCATGTTCTCCTTGTGCCTGTGTGGGTTTCCTCCGGGTACTCCGGTTTCCTTCCACACTGCAAAAACATGCTGGTAGGTTAATTGGATCTTGTCTAAATTGGTCCTAGTATGTTTGAATGTAAGTTAGGGACTTTATATTGTATTCCCCTTGAGGGTTAGGGACTGATGTGAATATATGTAAAGCGAGCGCTGAATTGACGGCGATATATAAGTACCTGCAATAAATAAAATAAAAATAAATAAATAAAGACCGTTCATGACTACTCTCTCTCTCTCCTGGTGTAGAAGGACTGCAAAATTTTTCGGTATATGAACTAGGTTTGCATAGGCATTTGCTACATCCAAAGTGGATTTATATATTGTTGGGCTGTTGAGAAATGTATTTTAAATATAATTAAAGGTAAAACATTTTTTTTAAATTTTGGATATAGTGCAGATGTATTAGAGCACCTGTCCATTGTTATTGATGGCTGTGTGCCCGTTTTTCATGTTTAACATTATCACTGAAAGTGAAAGTAAAAGAAAATGCCATATTTTTGGTTGTCTCCAGAAAAGTCATTGAGGGGGAATCTTCCAATGGGGAAACTAGTTCTAGTGACCGGGGGTCTCCAGGGAATTTCTTTAATTTGCAGGGATTTCCTCTTACTTCCTGTTTTGTCTATGAGACAGGAAATGAGGGAAATCTCTGCAAGGAGACACAGATGACGATAACCCTTCTTGCTCTATCAAAATGAAAAAATGAAGTTTTGCCTACAGTTTTACTTAAATCTTTAAATCTTTTAAAATCAGCTTTATTATAGGCCAAAATATATTTAGGCTTGGTTTACATCTATGCGGGTGGTGCCGCTGCGGGATCTGCACAAATACCTGCAGCAGCACCACCAACACAGAGGAATGCGGGACCTGAACAAATACCTGCAGCAGCACCACCCACACAGAGGAATGTGGGACCTGCACAAATACCCGCAGCAGCACCACCCACACAGAGGAATGCGGGACCCGCACAAATACCCGCAGCCGCACCACCCACACAGAGGAATGCGGGGCCCGCACAAATACCCGCAGCAGCACCACCCACACAGAAGAATGCGGGACCCGCACAAATACCCGAACCCGCACCACCCACACAGAGGAATGCGGGACCCGCACAAATACCCGCAGCAGCACCACCCACACAGAGGAAAGCGGGACCTGTACAAATACCCGAACCCGCACCACCCACACAGAGGAATGCGGGACCCGCACAAATACCCTCGCAGCAGCACCACCCACACAGAGGAATGCGGGTCCCGCACAAATACCCGCAGCAGCACCACCCACACAGAGGAATGCGGGGACCCGCACAAATACCCGCAGCAGCACCACCCACACAGAGGAATGCGGGTCCCGCACAAATACCCGCAGCAGCACCACCCACACAGAGGAATGCGGGACCCGCACAAATACCGGCAGCTGCACCACCCACACAGAGGAATGTGTGACCTGCACACATACCCGCAGCAGCACCACCCACACAGAGGAATGCGGGACCCGCACAAATACCCGCAGCAGCACCACCCACACAGAGGAATGTGTGACCCGCACAAATACCCGCAGCAGCACCACCCACACAGAGGAATGCGGGACCCGCACAAATACCCGCAGCAGCACCACCCACACAGAGGAATGTGAGACCCGCACAAATACCCCGCAGCAGCACCACCCACACAGAGGAATGCGGGACCCGCACAAATACCCGCAGCCGCACCACCCACACAGAGGAATGCGGGACCCGCACAAATACCCGCAGCCGCACCACCCACACAGAGGAATGCGGGACCCGCACAAATACCCGCAGCAGCACCACCCACACAGAGGAATGCGGGACCCGCACAAATACCCGCAGCAGCACCACCCACACAGAGGAATGCGGGACCCGCACAAATACCCGCAGCAGCACCACCCACACAGAGGTATCCGGGACCCGCACAAATACCCGCAGCCGTACCACCCACACAGAGGAATGTGGGACTCGCATAATTACCTGCAGCCGCACCACCCACACAGAGGAATGCGGGACCTGCACAAATACCGGCAGCAGCACCACCCACACAGAGGAATGCGGGACCTGCACAAATACCCGCAGCAGCACCACCCACACAGAGGAATGTGTGACCCGCACAAATACCCGCAGCAGCACCACCCACACAGAGGAATGTGGGACTCGCATAATTACCTGCAGCAGCACCACCCACACAGAGGAATGTGGAACCCGCACAAATACCTGCAGCGGCACCACCCACACAGAGGAATGCGGGACCTGCACAAATACCCGCAGTAGCACCACCCACACAGAGGAATGTGGGACCCGCACAAATACCCGCAGCCCCACCACCCACACAGAGGAATGTGGGACCTGCACAAATACCCGCAGCCGCACCACCCACACAGTGCTCCATATATACAGTATATATATACATATATATATATATATCAGTTTAGGTTTGGGTTTGTTTCACCTTGTTGTATGTATTTGTGTTAGTTTTGGGTTTGGTTTGTTGCACTGCGTTTATGTTTGCGTTGTCCTTAATAAATTATCTTGTTTACACGCTATACCTGAATTCTTTGTTTCCCTGTGTCGGTCCCACACACCTCTGGTCATTCCCGGAGCCCTGACATTACACCAAGGCCATTCCTGACCAGAAGTGGCTGCATAGGGAAGCCATCTTGGCTTGTTGTTAAGGATGCATCCGGAGGAGGTTATATACTTGTATTTGCTAGTCTTACATGACAGAGAATATGCCTATCAGACTCTGCAGGAGTATACCAGGGATCAGCTGCTAGAGTGCATACGGGTCGCTCATTCCCTAGTAGATCAGGGCACAGAGTTCTCTGAGGTGCATCCATTGATTCAGGCTTGTGTTGAGTTGGCTTCATCTAGTACCCCTGAAAGCAGGGATGACTTTCTTCCACCTTTCAGTGTGGATCAAATAGAATCACTGATATGGTTGTTGGAGGATGATCTGGATTGCTTCTGGGAACATTATTCAGCATGTTTACCACATGTGCTAGTGGAGTGTATAAACACAGTGCAGTCTTTGGTCAGACAGGCTATGTGTAAGCTGAGCTTTGTTCAACCAATACTACAGTCCTGGTCAGACTTGTTACACCCAGCCTCAGTCAGCTTGCAACAAACCCGTCCTGCTTCTAATCATTCCTCTGCTCAAAACTCTACTCCTGCATTCCGACAGCGACAGCACCCCCAGTGACAGCCCAATATACCCTGTTGTCTACCACATGTCAGTACCCTGTTCCCACTCGCTGCACTTATCCTGCCTTTAACCCTGTAAAAAAGGCCGCTGTAACAACTATTCCCTCCTCTGTTCCATCCTCCAGCTCTTCTCTGTCCCCAGCTACTCCATCCATTTACAGACCTGCATTTACTTGCAGTGCCCCAGTAACTAAACCCAAGAAGAAGTGAAAATTCTTTCCAACCAGTACCATCCTACCAGTATCCAAACCGGTCAGCCTGCTGTCTGAGAACCCGCCTTCCGTTGTTCAGCCTGATGCCCTGATGCCCCAGTGTACGCTACCCAGCCTGATGACCCGATCCAGCCTGATGACCCGGTGTTTGTGATCCAGGCTGATGACCCGATCCAGCCTGATGATCCTACCCAGCCTGGTGATCCTATCCAGCATGATGGCCTGGTGCCCGCTACCCAGCCTGATAGCCCGATCCAGCTTGATGGCCCGATCCAGCCTGATGGCCCGATCCAGCCTGATGACCCGATCCAGCCTGATGACCCGGTGTTTGTGATCCAGCCTGATGACCCGATCCAGCCTGATGACCCGATGCAGCCTGATGACCCGGTGTTCGTGATCCAGCCTGATGATCCGATCCAGCCTGATGACCCGATCCTGCCTGATGACCCGATCCTGCCTGACGACCCGATCCTGCCTGATGACCCGGTGTTCGTGATCCAGCCCGATGACCCGATCCAGCCTGATGATCCTACCCAGCCTGATGATCCTATCCAGCGTGATGACCTAAAACCCGCTACCCAATCTGATGGCCTGATCCAGGCTGATGGCCCGATCCAGCCTGATGACCCGATCCAGCCTGATGACCCGCTGTTCGTGATCCAGCCTGATGACCCGATCCGGCTTGATGACCCGATCTGGCCTGATGACCCGATCCGGCCTGATGATCTGGTGTTCGTGATCCAGCCTGATTACCCGGTCCTGCCTGGTGCCTTGGTGCCCGTGGTCCGGCCTGGTGACTCGGTGCCCGCTGTCGTGCCAGATGACTTGGTGCCCGCTGTCATACCAGAAGACTCGGTGCCCGCTGTCGAGCTTGGTGACTCGGTGCCTGCTGTCGAGCTTGGTGACTCGGTGCCTGCTGTCGTGCCAGATGACTAGGTGCCCGCTGTCGTGCCAGATGACTCGGTGCCCGCTGTCGAGCTTGGTGACTCGGTGCTCGCTGTCGGGCTTGGTGACTCGGTGCCCGCTGTCCTGCCAGATGACTCAGTGCCCGCTGTCATGCCAGATGACTCGGTGCCCGCTGTCGTGCCAGATGACTCGGTGCCAGCTGTCGGGCTTGGTGACTCAGTGCCCGCTGTCGTGCCATTTGACTCGTGCCTGCTGTCGAGCTTGGTGACTCGGTGCCCGCTGTCCTGCCAGATGACTCGGTGCCCGCTGTCCTGCCAGATGACTCGGTGCCTGCTGTCGAGCTTGGTGACTCGGTGCCCGCTGTCAAGCTTATTAACTCGGTGCCCGCTGTCATGCCAGATGACTCGGTGCCCGCTGTTGTGCCAGATGACTCGGTGCCCGCTGTTGTACCAGAAGACTCGGTGCCCGCTGTCGTGCCAGGTGACTCGGTGCCCGCTGTCGAGCTTGGTGACCCGGTGCCCGCTGTTCTTCCCGATGACTCGGTGCCCGCTGCCTCATCTGATGGCCCGGTGCCCGTTGCCTCGCCTGATGGCCCGGTGCCCGCTGCTCTGCCTGATGGCTGGTGCCTGCTGCCCAGCCTGATGTGCCTCTGCCTGCTGCCCAGCCTGATGTGCCTCTGTCCGCTGCCCAGCCTGATGTGCCTAGGTGCCCGCTGTCGTGCCAGATGACTCGGTGCCCGCTGTCGAGCTTGGTGACTCGGTGCCCGCTGTCGGGCTTGGTGACTCGGTGCCCGCTGTCCTGCCAGATGACTCAGTGCCCGCTGTCATGCCAGATGACTCGGTGCCCGCTGTCGTGCCAGATGACTCGGTGCCAGCTGTCGGGCTTGGTGACTCAGTGCCCGCTGTCGTGCCATTTGACTCGTGCCTGCTGTCGAGCTTGGTGACTCGGTGCCCGCTGTCCTGCCAGATGACTCGGTGCCCGCTGTCCTGCCAGATGACTCGGTGCCCGCTGTCGAGCTTGGTGACTCGGTGCCCACTGTCAAGCTTATTAACTCGGTGCCCGCTGTCATGCCAGATGACTCGGTGCCCGCTGTTGTGCCAGATGACTCGGTGCCCGCTGTCGTACCAGAAGACTCGGTGCCCGCTGTCGTGCCAGGTGACTCGGTGCCCGCTGTCGAGCTTGGTGACCCGGTGCCCGCTGTTCTTCCCGATGACTCGGTGCCCGCTGCCTCATCTGATGGCCCGGTGCCCGTTGCCTCGCCTGATGGCCCGGTGCCCGCTGCTCCGCCTGATGGCCGGTGCCTGCTGCCCAGCCTGATGTGCCTCTGCCTGCTGCCCAGCCTGATGTGCCTCTGTCCGCTGCCCAGCCTGATGTGCCTCTGTCCGCTGCCCAGCGTGATGTGCCTCTGTCCGCTGCCCAGCCTGATGTGCCTCTGTCCACTGCCCAGCCTGATGTGCCTCTGTCCGCTGCCCAGCCTGATGTGCCTCCGTCCGCTGCCCAGCCTGATATTCCTCCGCCGGTTGCCCAGCCTGATGTGCCTCCGCCCGCTGCCCAGCCTGATGTGCCAGCCCTTGATATCCAGCCAGTTATCTGACCCAGACGGTGGATCATTTTGCCCACTAAGGACTGTTTGGAGTGTCCTGAGGCCGCTCCTTGAGGGGGGGGGTACTGTCAGGAATGGACTTGCCAATGGTGGTGGGACTCACCTGCCTTGTGGGCTGCAGTACCAAGGCTGGCCAGCGGGTGCTCTCAGAAGCCAGAATCTTACTCCTGCAATCAGGCCATCACCTGGGGCTGATTGCAGGAGGTGTATTTAAGCAGGACCAGGCCTGTGATCAGTGCCTTGGTGTATGTTTCCCATGAGCCCCTATACCTGCATCCTGTCTACTTCCTGCCTGATCCTGCTTTGATCTTGACTCTGAACCTGACTCTGAACGAACTCCGCCTGTCCTGACCTCGGCTATTCCTGACCACTCTTCCGCTCGCTCCTGGTACCCTGTTTGCCCGTTAGCTACCGACCCGGCCCGCCTGACTACGTTGTGCTCCATATATATATACATATATATATATATATATATATACATATACATATATATATATATATATATATATATCAGTTTAGGTTTGGGTTTGTTTCATCTTGTTGTATGTATTTGTGTTAGTTTTGGGTTTGGTTTGTTGCACTGCGTTTATGTTTGTGTTGTCCTTAATTAATTATCTTGTTTACATGCTATACCTGAAGTCTGTGTTTCCCTGCGTCGGTCCACACACCTCTGGTCATTCCCGGAGCCCTGACAGGAAGTAACTACCTCCTGGCGGGAGTTAGTATCCGTGAGCATAGAGTCGTTAAGTCTCCAGGCGTAGAGGGTAGGTGCTAATCTTATGAATGTGATGGATAGCGAGATAATATTGTGATCTGACCAGGGGCTTAAATGGATGCAAGCTTTCCTAGAGCTAGCTAGCAGAATGGGGGAACAGTAGATATAATCTAGTCTAGCATAAGAGTCATGTGGGTGGGAGTAAAATTAATAATCTCTAGCTCCTACATTGTGTGCCCTCCAGGAGTCTACCAGTTGGAGTGTATCCAATTTTTTGGTGGAATGTAACTGTTTTTGAAACTGTTAAAGGATAAATTCACCTTTCATAACATGTTACACCCATATTCAGGGTGTAACATGTTACGAATGGACCTGCATGGCACCAGCGATCTTCTGATTGCTGGTGCAATGCTTTAGAGGCTCAAGAGACAAAAAATAATACCTGCCAAAAAATGTGCATTTATTATTTTGTGTTAAAAGGTGAACATATCCTTTAAATTGAAAGGTATAGTACCGCTTTATCTTTAACCTGTCAGCAGATTGGCCTCTGCAAATTCTGGCAGTTCCTAAAAATGCCTACAAATGGAGAGCAACTAAGTTCAGCAGGGTGAGGCAGTGTATTACTGTATTTTAAACAGCATATATACTTATCTTTAATGTTTTACATAGCTATACCTGCAAAAGGGGCCAGCCTGAAATGATCTCGCAGGAATTCATTTTCTGACTAAAGTTCCACTTTAAGTAGCTGGGTACATATTCTTAGGAAGATCTTGAGTTACTTGACCTCAGCTACCAATTAAATCAAATCTGCCATGAAAGTTTGAATCTAATAAGTGAAAGAGGGGAAATAACTCTAGTTCTCAGTACAAACACATTTAAATATCAGCCCTCAAGTGTTCCAAGCAGCTGGTCTTTGTCTAAATTCATAATTATGTTTTAAGCTTTGGACTGACGTATGCTAAAGTAAAACCTGAGCCTATTGAAAAATGCCACTAAGTGCCAGCTTTGCCGCTCTATAGAATACCCAGGTGCCCCTAACATGCAGGTTGCTGCTTTGTAGGGCAACCAGTGACCTGCTTCTATAGTAGCTAGCTCTAGCTCAACCCTTCCACCTATTCTGCCTTAAAGTTGGATGGAGATGTCCTGATGGGCTAGCTAGGCCAATGGGTTAGGCCAAAGTCTTAAACCAGGGAATCAGTTCACTATACAAGTGGATCCAATTTTAGGCTTAGGTGTTCTGGTGAAGACAAAGCTGGCACCTGGCAAAGAATAAACCCTGACTAGCATGTATGGAGAATGATCTACCTGCTCACTCTGAGGAGGTAGATAGTTGTCTTCGCTGTATACATTTAAGCCTTGTTATTGGAAATGAGGGAACACGCTTTTCTCGCTTACATAAAAGAATAGTAGGTTGTCCTGAACCTCCCTGGAGTCCTATGTTGATGAGGGTTTAGAAATTGCATCTTCACATAGATGACATTATAGCCTAGCCTCTTCAGCTTGCACTCATCTCCTATAAAATGTCCCCCTTCTGTGCACATAGATTCCCATTACTCCCTACTTCCCTTCCCTACTTCTCCCAGCGTCTTCTTACCACTCTTCTTACACACATTACTTGATTTTATTTTAAATCTTTCAACAGCTCCCTATTTAAACCAACATCCCACTTTGTACATCCAGAGTTCATTTCTAGTATTGCTTTTAATATCATTTTAACAGAATTGCATACATTTTGCACATTGTCGTTAAGCTCACCAATTATAGTTTAATTTATTTTCTTCTTCATGTCCCCCAGTTTCAATATAATTTGACAAGCTACTTATGTAGTGGGGAAATAGTGTCTGCCTACCAAATGACTCCCATATGCCTGCTTGTAGCAGTGAGGTTTTATTTACAAACTGTAGGATTTTATTGACTGCAAAGTAGCAAAATGAAAATAATTTTGCATAACGAGAATGCATACAAAATTGTTCTGTTCCAGAAGATGCACTTTTAAGATGCTAAGCTGAGCTTTAATAAATTAATATGTTTTATGATCCTGAGAAGAAAACAAACAGTGTGTGTTGTGCTATTCTGTACTCCACAGCTTCTCATATACTATGGCCTATTCTACATCTATCCTGTGCATGAAACAATCCAATTATGGGCGGCACAGTGGCTTAGTGGTTAGCACTTCCACCTGCCAGTACTAGGGTCGTTGGTTCGAATCCCAGCCACGGCACCACCTGCCTGGAGTTTGCATGTTCTCCCTGTGCCTGCATGGGTTTCCTCCAGGTACTCCGGTTACCTCCCACACTCCAAAGACATGCAGGTACGTTAATTGGATCCTGTCTAAATTGTCCCTAGTATGTGTATGTGTGAATGTAAGTTTGGGACCTTAGATTGTACACCCCTTGAGGGTTAGGGACTGATGTGAATGTACAATATATATGTAAAGCACTGCGTAAATTGACAGCGCTATATAAGTACCTGAAATAAATAAATGTAGCCAGTCCTTGGTTCTTTCAGTGCTCACCTTACGGTATACCTGTATTAAAGCTGAACATTCAAAACACCGGTAATCCAGTTATACACTGAGCTTTTCTTTCAGCTGGAACTTGGTGGAACTCAGTTCCACTAACTCTGGCTTAGACCCTTGGCATCCTGCTCACTCTGCCTGGCTTCTGTGTTTACAATACACAGCTTGGCTCCCTGTGGCTCCCACTGTGGGCAGGATGGCTACATAGCAGATGCAGGTACCCAGAGTGCAGTGCAGATGCCAACACTCCCACTGGATAATCTCCCTGCAAGTGAGAGAGGTAGAGCTACCTTGTCAGGACCTGTGTCATTACTTGGGTCACCTGCTGGATAATTGCACTCTTGTTCCTAAATCAAAGGGCGTGTTTCCAGTGGCCACCAACCGGTGTCTCCCAGCAGCTGGACTGTACAAGTAATTAAGCTCCATTCACACTTGTGTGACTTCAAAATCATGCGATTTTCATTGCGGCTTAATGCGCCTTTGATGCAACTTTGGATGAGTGTGGCTTTGGTACGACTTTGACCAAGGATAATTGTTTCTGCTGTACAAAGTCGCACACAAGTCACACACAAGTTACATGTACAGTGGATAGAAAAAGTCTACACGCCCCTGTTAAAATTTCAGGTTTCTGTGATGTAAAAAAATGAGATAAAAATGAATCATTTCAAAACTTTTTCCACATTTAGTGTGACCTATAAACTGTACAACTCAATTGAAAAATAAACTGAAATCCTTTGGGGGGGGGGGAGTAAACATAAAAAACTAAAATAATGTGGTTGCATAAGTGTGCACACCCTCTTATAACTGGGGATGTAGCTGTGTTCAGAATTAAGCAATCGCATTAAATATCATGTTAAACAGGAGTCAGCACCCACCTGCCACCATTTAAAGTGCCTCTGATTAACCCCAAATAATGTTCAGCTGTTCTAGTAGGTCTTTCCTGACATTTTCTTAGTCGCATCCTACAGCAAAAGCCATGGTCTGCAGAGAGCTTCCAAAGCATCAGAGGGATCTCATTGTTAAAAGGTATCAGTCAGGAGAAGGGTACAAAAGAATTTCCAAGGCATTAGATATACCATGGAACACAGTGAAGACAGTCATCATCAACTGGAGAAAATATAGTGCAACAGTGACATTACCAAGAACTGGATGTCCCTCCAAAATTGACGAGAAGAAAACTGGTCTGGGAAGGCTGCCAAGAGGCCTATAGCAACATTAAAGGAGCTGCAGGAATATTTGGCAAGTACTGGCTATGTGGTACATGTGACAACAATCGCCTGTTTTCTTCATATGTCTGGGCTATGGGGTAGAGTGGCACGATGGAAGGCTTTTCTTACAAATAAAAACATCCAAGCCCGGCTAAATTTTCCAAAAACACATCTGAAGTCTCCCAAAAGCATGTGGGAAAATGTGCTATGGTCTGATGAAACCAAGGTTGAACTTTTTGGCCATAATTCCACTGCACTGCACATCACCAAAAGGACACCATACCCACAGTAAAGCATGGTG